CCCCCCCCCATTGAGTAAGTCTTGAATCAAGGTCACCTCTAGATAGATGCGGGGTAAACAGATTTTCTCGCTTATCCAGGTATCCCTTTGACTATTTGTCACTTTTACTTGCTTGACAACTACCCACCACCCACCACACTAAAAATATTCATAAAATATCTGTTAACCTGTTCATCTGTTTATCCCACCTTTACCTGAAGAATAGGTGGTTATACTTTGATTAGATATTTAATAAATCTTTCTGTACTTGTACTCAATGAAAAAGGAATTTGTTATAAAATAATTTGTTTCATGATGAAGTTGTATTTTCACACTAAAAATATCAATAAAAAGGAAGAAATGTTTTTAACTTTACACTTTCTACTTAATATTTGTATATAAATATATATTTCTTGGGGGGGAATTGTCCGGGGGGAATAGTCCGGGGGGGAATTGTCCTAGAATCTGTGCTTTCAGTTTCTATTCTATTTGGTTTGATGACTTGGGTCACATTAGCATACTACTGCTGTTTGAATTCTGTCACCAATTTTCAAACTTGTCACTTATAGATTGGCACAAAACTCTCGAAAATATTTACAATATATTTGACATTTGTTAAATGTTTAATATATATATTAATTAATTTTAATGATTTCTTTTATCATATGGTATTCAAAAGAATCCTTAATATAAGGCAGTTTTTTTTTTATTACCTGTTTCTCGAACGATTTTTATTTTTGTCAGAGGTCGGAGGGGGGAAAAAAATAAAAAATATTTTTCAAAATAATGACTTTTGGTCACTCATTTTCAAATCTACATTAGACAATGGTAAATACTGGTTTTAACACAGTATAGCAATTTTTGGATAAAAACAGCAATTATTTTTCAATGTTTTATTTGTCTAAATGAATGTCAATTCAACGAATCATTCTTGTAAATTACAAAACAAAAAAAAAAAGTTTGCCTTTCTATGCATTCATGATGGCAGTGCACAAAACAGTTTTTGTCAATCTTGATGCAATATTATGTATGATTTAATGATTAAGTGGAAAATCATCAAATTTAAATTATCTACTTCATGTAACATGGCTATCCAGAAACAATATGGCTTCATGCCCATGTGAGTTCCAAGTCCCACACTGAAAACACCAATACATGTATATGAAAAATGACCATTTCACAAAAACAGCATTACTTCCATAAAAAGAATCCAATCAGGCTATATTTCAGACCTTTGAATCTTTCAATAAGTTTGAGAATCATCTTGTTAAATGGCCTTCCAAAAATGGTCACTATGGCAGCTGCACTAAGCTAGCCAGTCTCTCTCTGCATATGGGCTTCTATACCATAGCTCCTCTGTCAGTGTCTCTGCTATGTGTTTTCCAAGATTTTTGGCCTGTCCAGCCCGAAGACAAAGATTGAAGTTTTCCACTACTTGCGAGATGGAATATACATTGTCTGCCTTGCTTTACTTAGGGATTCACTGAAAAAAAATATGTTTCAGATAAATTTACTGAGTTGGATGTGTGCCTTCTCTTAGCTGCATGGGAATTGTATAATTCAAAAGACAGCAAACAATTGCTTAGCAAGATTGCTGAAAATACAAAAACCAGCAAGGGTAATATGGCCTGTTATGGTCTTAATTTTTATTAAATCTAAATGGCAGCAACAACTTATTTAATATTATTGAATGATCCACCCTTTTTATCAGGAAAAAGTCTGCTCTGGATCAAAATTGATCTAGGTGCATGAAGGTTTTATGGTCAATGGTTCACTTTTTCAGAAAAAGAACCCTCTTTTGAAATTGCTGGCTACTGGCCTGGTTAAACTTAATATCTATATACTTAAAAACTTGGCGGAAAACTTAATTGAACTATGAATTCATGTTGACAGGCTCATTATCCAAAGCACATGATAGTTTACAGCTATTACCTGCCTTAATTTAATTTTAAAAAATGTCAAAGACACGTTGCTTCAGTATAGAAACATCTGCTGTTGTGAGCAAGCAATTAGCATTTAACATATGTTTTTGTGAAAGTGCAAAAAAGGACATTTATTTACCAACATATCAATGCCTAAAATATATTCACCTTAAAAAACTATGACACTCTAGACTGATAAAACGAAAAAAAATACTCACATCATTTCTGGAGACTTTCAGAAGTAGGCCTATGCGAGTGCTGCATTAAAAATCCAATGCGCTCTGTATTTGGATGTTCTTGGAGACTTTAGTTGAGCCTGCCTCTTTTGGTGTTCACTGCCAACTGTTATCTGAATGCATTTAATGTCAATGTCTACCACCGTAGTGACCGGCGTTCTTACATTCAGTTCAGAACCTATTTTTGCTCCCTGAAACCTTCCACACGTGACAAGTGTTGCAGTTGATATTTTCATTTCTGACAGAAAGCAGTCAATAAAATGGCCTAAAACGTCTGTAACACTGGCCGGACAGACCTTTTTGCATAATATCTTTGGTCCTTCCTTCACTATAATACTGAGCCACACAACAGTGGTCAATTTCCTGCTTAAGTAGAGACAGCTACTCCAGTATGTGTCTCCCGCCATGTTGCATTAATTTGACACATGCAGTGTAAAATATGAGCGAAGCATTGATTGGCTTAAAAACTGGAAGCTGGGGGAAATGAACCAATCATTGTACCACCAGCGTAGGCGCTGGCGGTACACATGGTTTTAGTCCCGACCCGTATGTTCTGCCGGCNTGGGGGGGGGGGGAATTGTCCTAGAATCCGTGCTTTCAGTTTCTATCCTTATTGGTTTGACGACTTGGGTCACATTAGCATACTACTGCTGTTTGAATTCTGTCACCAATTTTCAAACTTGTCACTTATAGATTGGCACAAAATTCTCGAAAATATTTACAATATATTAGACATTTGTTAAATGTTTAATATATATATTAATTAATTTCAATTATTTCTTTTATCATATGGAATTCAAAAGAATCCTTAATATAAAGGAATAACAACTGTTTCTATAAGATTTATATTTCACAGTTAAAACATTGTGAACAACTTGCAGAAATATAATAAAT